CCTTTATTGTCATTGTCCCCAGTACAACGAAATTTAAAGTGCTCACCAGTCAGTGCATCATTCATAAATTTAAATAAATAAAACAAGAAATAAAAATAAATTAAAATAAAAGATAATCAATAAATTTTATATATAAAAACTGCCCAAGTATACCCACATACCCACATAAAGGTACATATTGTCATTGCACATCCCTGTTTTACAGTCAATTGTAAACAGTATTAATAATTAATTAGCAGTATTGAGTGTGGTAATTGCTGTAAGATAAAAGCTGTGTTTGAATCTGTTTGTCCTTGTTTTGACTGATATGAATCGTCTGCCTGATGGCAACAGCTCAAACAGAGAGTGTCCAGGGTGAGAAGAGTCCTTTATAATGTTCTGCGCTTTTTTGATGCAACGGGAGCTGTGTAGTTCTTCCAGTGTGGGGAGAGGGCATCCGGCGATTTTTTGGGCCGTGTTGATGACCCTCTGCAGCGCTTTCCTCTGAGCCACTGTGCAGCTGGTGTACCAAACACAGATGCAGTATGTAAGAATGCTCTCGATGGAAGCTTGGTAGAAGGACACCAGCAGTTTCTGTGTGATGTTATTCTTCCCGAGTATTCTCAGGAAGTAAAGTCTCTGCTGGGCCTTTTTCAGTAGCGCAGAGGTGTTGGCGCTCCAGGTCAGGCCCTCCCCAATGTGGGACTCCCAGGAAGCGGAAGTCTGCCACCCTCTCCACACAGTCCCCGTTGATGGTTAGTGGTGGAGTGTCCGTTTTCTTTCTCCCGTAGTCTATTATGAGCTCCTTGGTCTTTGCGGTGTTAAGGAGCAGGTTGTTGCCCCTGCACCACGCTGTCAGCCGCTCCACCTCGTCCCTGTAGGCAAGCTCATCCCCCCCAGAGATGAGCCCCACCACTGTGGTGTCATCAGCAAACGTCACAATGGTGTTGCTATGATGGACGGGGGCACAGTCATGTGTGTAGAGGGAGTAGCGCAGGGGGCACAGGACACAGCCCTGGGGGGAGCCAGTACTGAGGCTCAGGGCTGTGGATGTATGACGGCCCACTCTGACCCTCTGTCTGCGGCCCGAGAGGAAGCTATGTATCCACATGCAGGTGGAATGTGGAAGCCCCAGGTCGCCCAGTTTTACCCACCAGTTTGTGTGCAGGATGGTGTTGAACGCAGAACTGTAATCCACGAAGAGCATCCGCAGATAGCTCCCCTGCTGCTCCAGGTGTGACAGTGCAGCATGTAGTGCTGTGGCCACGGCATCCTCCGTGGATCGGTTCGCTCTGTAGGCAAACTGGTGGGGGTCAAGGCTTCGAGGCAATGTTGCAATGATGTGACTCCGGACCAGTTTTTCAAAGCACTTCATCACCACTGGCGTCAGTGCTACTGGCCGGTAGTCGTTAAGGCTGGAAATGTGGGGTTTTTTCGGCAGGGGAACTATGGTGGAGGACTTTAGGCAAGGTGGTACCGTGGACTGTTCCAGAGACAGGTTGAAAATCCTTGTGAAGACTCCAGCCAGCTCGTCAGCACAGTCGCTCAGCACATGTCCCGGGACGCCATCAGGTCCCGCAGCCTTCCTCGGGTTGACGGCCTGCAGCGTACACCTCACCTCGTGCTCCTCTACTGTGAGGTTCAAGCTGCTGTGGACCGTGGGGTTTGGTGATGCTGTCCCTGGTGGTGTCACCTCAAAGCGGGCAAAGAAAAGGTTCAACTCCTCTGCCAGAGCGGTGTCACCATCAGGTTGGCCCTGTAGTTGGTGAGGTGCTGGACTCCCTGCCACAACTGCCTGCTGTCGTTACTGTCCAGGCGTTTCTCAATCCTCCTCCTGTAGTCAGCTTTGGCCTCACAGATGCCTCTCTTCAAGTTAGCTCGGGCTGTACTGTAGAGAGGCTTTATCTCGGGATTTGAAGGCGATGTTCCTCTCCTTCAGCAGCTGCTGGATCTCCCGGGTCATCCAGGGGCTTCTGGTTGGGGTAGACCCGAATGCGTTTGTCCACAGTGACAGTGGCTATGCAGTTTTTAATGTAGCACAATACACTATCTGTGAACACCTCCAGGTCCTGATGTTCGAAGACCCCCCAGTTGGTCCTATCAAAGCAGTCCTGCAGCTGCTGGGTGGCACCCTCAGGCCAGGTGGCGACAGTTTTTGTGATGGTAGGAGCCGTTTTCTTGATGGGGGCGTATGCAGGGATCAAAAGCAGGGACAAATGGCCAGACTGGCCCAGGTGTGGTAGTGGTCTAGCCCTGTAGCCTAGTTTGATGTTGGTGTAGACCTTGTCCAGAGTCTTAGTTCCCCTAGTAGCACACTTAACATGCTAGTGGAATTTAGGGAGTGCTGCCTTTAAGTCTGCACGGTTCAAATCCCCTGCTATAATCTGCATGGCGTCAGGATACTTGCTCTGCTGAATGCTAATGCTGCCATGTAAAAGTCCAATAGCTGAGTTAGCATTAGCATCCGGTGGGATGTAAACAGCAGTTATCATGACCACAGTAAACTCTCTTGGGAGGTAAATGGGCCTGCATTTAACAGTCACATACTCCAGATCTGGTGAGCAGTGGATGTCTACAGTCACTGTGTTAGTACACCAGCTGTTATTCACGTACACACAGAAACCCCCTCCTCTGCTCTTACCGGAGTCTACTGTTCTGTCATGGCGCTGTGCTGTGTAGCCTGCTAGCTCAATAGCAGAGTCCGGGATGGATGAATGAAGCAAGGTTTCTGTGAAAAGCAGAATGCAGCTGTCCTTCACTACATTGTTCGCTGTAGTCTGTAGCCTCAGTTCATCCATTTTGTTCTCGAGGGATCTGGCATTCGTGAGAAATAGGCTGGGTAGTGGTGATTTGAGTGGCTGCCTCCGTAGCCTGGCTAGCGCACCGGCCCTGCAGCCTCGCTTCTGCCTTCTCTCTCTACGCCGCCTTCGCCTCCTCCCCGCCGGGATGATAATCCATGGAGAGCTGGGGCTCCTCGCTAATGCCACCGGAATCTTGTGAAGATGGAGGAACTCGCTTGGAACACTCCGTTCGTAACATAGTCCGATCTTAAGGAGATCGTGCCGGTTAAAGGTGTTACTCGCCCGACAAAATGTACACAAAACAAAACATAATGCGTACATAAACAACCATACAAGACGTAATGCGTACATAAACAACTATACAAGACACAATGCGTACACAAACGACCATACAAGGCACCGACCGGGTAGACACTGAGCTGCTGCAACTGTGTGCGCCACCATCTTTCTTGATAACAGTTCAGGGACAGCAGTTCTCAGCCCCCCTCTGCCACTGAGATTCGGGAAGTTGGGATTTACACACACTAAATGCAAAAACTAATTAAAAGTGATGGTATTTGTGTAATCATTGGTGATCAGGTTGAAACCATCAGCTCCCTACACTTGTGAACCCAGTTAAATCATAGGCAGCTGCCTGCAAGATCAGAACTCTAACATCTGAGTTATCCGCCCACCTCAATGTTGTGCTTTCTCCAAAAATCGTACAATACCCAAAACACAAGTTCACAACTTCAAAGTAAAGTTAAAAGCTACGCTTTGTCTACACTCTGAAAGTATATGAAGTTTTGTATATATTATTTAGTTCTAAAGTGGTGGTTGTTAATCACGTCGAGTCAAGGAGTCAGACCAAGTGTTTGGGAATTATTTTGAAGTTGGTGGTGGTAAGTGAGAATGGGGGACCATGTTAAAAATCTATGGGGGTGGCCATACCGACTGTGGATAGGACAGAGGATATAAAGCTTTGCTCACCATCCAAAAAAAATGTATGCTATACACTCATAAATGGGACCTTTTTTACATTATCAAAGTATGAAAAATAAGAATAGGCCTTCAGATGTTCAAACAACAAATAGATACCTTTTGCAAGGAATCAAGTCTGCATTAACCGCAGTACTTGCAGTGAACATGCACACAAACATGCTTTGATAATATATGCATTATCTTTGAAACTCATTGACCTACACCAGAGACACTGTTCTTTATGGCCTAGTCTCACCAGTGTCAAACCAGCAAACGCCAAAAGATGAATGGTACAAAAACAATGCACGTATCAGAGCATTTATAGCTTGGCGTGAGCAGCTATATCACGTGACCTTTTTTGCCAGAAAATGTAAAACGTATTCTTATTTTTTATACTCTACACTCATGTTTAAAATCATCAGGTGTTACTCTCCTTCTGGAATGTGGCTGCCCAACGTCGGTCGGGGTCGATAAGTCTCACCACCAAATAATTCCTCTTTCAGAGCACAAGGGACAGATGAGTGAATGTAGAAAATTAGAATTGTAAATGTTGTGGGTTTAAACGCCAATGCACAGGTGTGCTGAACGAATAACTCATTGCCATGTTTGGTTTACGTGACAAACCTTACTAATTGGCTGTGTCAAGGTGGTGGTGGGTCTAACCACACATTTAAAAGTATGTTATCTAACCCAAAACACCTCTATTATGAAAGTTACACCCGTGCACGAATACTTGCAACTGGGTGTGGGGCAGTTAATTAGTTTGGGGTGCATATGCGGCGTACCATGAAGTTAAATTAATACTATTTAAAACTAAACAATTTGTATTTTACCAGGTAAGGCCCACTGAGCTAAACAACTATTTTTTTTCAGCGACCTGGTTACAAATTATATCCCAACGAAGTGGCTTTTCCCGTGGAAATTCATAGCAGCCGATTACTCTGAACGCACGTTCATTTAATAAATGTGGAGGGGAAAAACCGGAGGGCCTGGAGAGAAATCCACTTGACCACTGGGAGAGAAACTCCAAATATACAGCGGGCCTCATGATCGGAATCGAACCCACGACCTCCTGTATACCAGGCAAGGTAGTTAACACCTCGCCACTGTTGCGCCAATTGAAGTTATTGACTTGTACCACGGTGACGTGATCAGGGTGCATGACGGCCATTGGTCAATGCATATTCGAATGTCTCTTGAGATCGACAGTTGCGCAGGAATCAAAACTGTTTCCAGGGATGAGAGGGCGGCAGCACTGACCCCGTTCGGAAAGGCGTCGCGGGTGAACATGGGCCAGGTCTTCCACTGCGTGCTGTGCCGGTAGTTCTGGTGGACATGCTCGCCCAAGCCGTAGATCGAAGGGCTGGGAAGAAGGGTCGATATTTGCAGGAACTGGTCGGAAAACCGCATGGGGTTCACAGAGCTGTCAAACCTGCACGTGCACAAGAAAGAGAACAACAACAACAACATGCTACGTAGGTTTTAGAGGTGAACAACAGCAACAAATTGGCGGTGACGTCACCACGGTTCCCGTGCCAGACCACGTGCACTTTGAGGCCACGTGCAGTGTTGAAGGCTCGCTGACAGAGGAGGTCACGGGACAGACCCAGGTGCCATGCATGGGTTGAATGTCTGAGATGACTGGAAGAGGTAAATGCTCATACACACGTTAGACAATGCTCAGGTCATTGTGCGCTGGCTGATGCAATGCACGAGGGAGTGGCGTGGACAGGACCGTGCCTGACCTACCACCTTTGTGTCCCCATTGCTAAGCTAATGTTCGCACACTGCACCAGGTGCTCGTCTAACACTGCGTTAATCCAGGAGAGTTATGATGCCACTTGCAATTGTCGTTAGCCATGGGTGAGAATGATCATCGAGCCTTTGGGTTCATTACGGAATGCACTGGACACTGCACCACTGCTCCCCATGCACACATACACATACAAACACAAACAAAAACAATGATCCTTTTGTTTGTGTTATAGACTCTAGCAATGGTGCTGTTTGTGAGCACTAATTAGGGCTGGCATAGCACATAAGGTGCTATACATGGCAATGGTTACACAGCACTCGATGCTCATTTATGGTCAAATGAGCTGGTGGAGGCCTATGCTTGGATGAGGCACCACCCCTTGCAATTCTTCATCCACGGACAGCAGTCAAACCCGGGTGACTGGTCTTATTACGGTGTGCCAACCACCTTCAGCACTGTGCCTCACCATGCCACATTGGTCACACAGACACAAGCTTACAATATCGGTCCTCAGTTTAGCCTCATAATTGCTTCACACGCGCCGTCAGTGAACAGCAATTCAGGCTGCCATTGCATGTACGGATGTAGTGTGTATGTCCACAGGCATCCGAGGCATGTAGCACCAATTAAAATTAATTGTTATGCTCTCGATACGGGTGTCGAATGATACACCTAAGAATATTTGTATATATATTCAAAGTGCGATGCATTTTTTTCCACCTTGGTGAATGGTAAGAAAAAAAAACGACGTAACGACACTGCAGATGAGCCATTAGCAGACGCAAGGTTAACCTGACGGCGTATGCAGACGGTACAAATAGGATGGTACGGATGAGGCGGTACAAATGAGATGGTCCAGACAGTGCATAAAACAAGAGTGAAATAAATAATCGATTCGTTAATATAATCGCCGAATCGTGACAATTAATCGAATCACAGGTAGTGTGAGTTTGCTCGATGGCCATTCAAACCCAACCACGTTCGTATCTTCATCGTCCTCACATATCGGACCCATTTTCAGATTGTCAGTAAAGGGTAAACCCGGATGGTGTGGACTGGATATATTTTATATCCAATTTTAACCATATTTAATTTGACTCTTGCGTCTGCTTGGTCACCGTGGTGGGTCTCTGATATTTTATGTTTCCTCTGCATAATTGTATAAATTTCGGCATAGAACTACAATGTTGCATAACCCAGTGAAAATTACGGATCATTATTGTCTTAGGGTTTGTGAATTCTACATGTCGCATTATTTGATGTACATAATTGTTCCAGTATAGCAAATAGAGAGATGCATATATTATCAACATGTTATTTAAATACAAATTATCACGCCTATTATTAAATCTGACACTTTTGGAAAACCACAACTCACACATCTCTTAAGTTCTTCTAAACAAGCTGCCCCTACATGTCAGATAATAATCAGCCTCACTCTATTTTTCGTTCTTCCCTTAAAATTAACCCATTTCCCTTGCTTACCCAATTACCTTTCCTCCTCTCTTCCCCATCATTAACTCCATGCGCACCTCCAATTTCCCGCACCTCCGATTAGCACGATTGGCTATGTACGGTGCGAAAGAAGTTCAACATACAAACATAGACACATCCCTCTTCCCAACTTCCCTACCCACCCATCATACGCACTCAACACTAACCACGCATTGTCACTCTCATCATCGTTTATTCCACGCATCATCATCATATTCAACTGCTATCAAACTTCACATCAACTCCTCATCTCGTCACGCAATTTTGATGTACAAATAGTTAATTCTCTGTTCAGCACCTTCGTCAAGGCGCTCTATAAATTTAATTAAGATGATAAAATCGTCTTGAGGTGCTCCATTTCATGAGCATGTAGACAATATACAAACATTTAAATTATTGTAATTGTAACGATACGCATGGCCGGAAATTATAAAGAAACTGGCACATAATAGCACTCCGAGCAGTGGATACATGTGTTGGCAAAACAATCTGCAAGCTCTGCCGTGCACATGCCCACGTAGCATTCACGGGGGAGCGGCAGATTGAAGATACTGGACGCGGAAAGACTGGACGCATCTCAACACATGCTCCGCTGCTTACACAAAGACAAAGATCCCACCTAATAAACTTTGACAGACTGTTAGAGAAAGTGCTATAAGCAAACACCTATGAAGACCGGAACGACACACGAGGGGGTGGGTGGCCAGCACCACGCCCGGCCGCCTTTGTCTCCCCAGTGGCAATGTTTGCACCACCGCACCAGGTACTCATTTGAGGCTGAGTCGACCTAGGGGAGGCCTATGACCCGTTCAGATAATCGTCACTGATGTTGGCCATAAGCGGGAATCAAACTCGGGTCGCCGGGTTCGTGGTGAAGTGCGCTAACCATTGCGTCACCGCTCCCCACTGCTTACACACGCACACACACAGCGCCACTCGATTACGTAATGTATTCTAAGGGAACATTCTGGTTTCTAAGCCGACCCCGATGTAGGATCTGTCCTAGCGCCTGCATGCACTGATCGTCATCGCCGTCATCATCACCACCACCACCACCTCTGGATGAGCTGATTATTCCACGTGTCAATGTCTTGCGATGCAACAGGCTGCCTAGGTCCTGCAAATGAACTGATTTCATTGCGGCATCTCTGCCAGTTGATGTCCCTCTCGGTCATAGTCGTAAATAGTGCGTTTAAAGTTTGCAGGGACTGCTTAATAAGCAAACGGAGAACAATGCAACGAACAATACGAATCATATTGCCTGCATACAAATGAACTTCTTTCGCACCGGACGCAGCCAACTATGCAAATCTGAGGTGCGTGGGAAGGACGACGAACTGAACACAAAAAAAAAACAGTTCTTAAGAAATGCGTTGTCAAGGGTCCTGTTCCCTGCGAATGCACAAATCCTATTCCTTGCGCATACTTGGACCTATTGCATCTCCGTAGATTGGACTTGATTCCCTGCGCACACAACGTGAACAGTGAGTGTTTGTTGATCGTGCGTGGGCAACGTGTGTACATAATATGCGGACAGCAGAGGCTTGCTCCCGATTTTTATTGGAGAGAACAATGGGGGACGGACGAAAACATTTTGTATGATCCAAACTGAAAAAAATAAATATGCTGTTGTATTGATCCAAAAAAATGGTGATGTCACGTGAAGCGGCGACACTGAGATCGCATCCTTGGCATTGCTTGTCCTGCCAAAAGCGGTGTCACCCACCCAGTGTCCCGCGACATTGGGTGGGCGAAGTCTAAATGTTATCACGGAAACACACTTAATAATCAAATAAATCTTCCAAGATCCGAAAAGCGATTCGAAATTGCCCTGAAAATCCGAAAATCCTGACTTTATTTTTTTTAAATATTTTAATCCTTACTCATCCCTCGTGGGTAGTACAGCATTTGAATTAGACCGGGCGTTTTTTTTTCATTTCTTACCCCACTCCATCACAGGGCGCTAACATGCGGAGCCGCACACGCATGTCGGACGGCGCAGAGCACATGGGCTCTCTGGCAAGCAGGGTGGGCGTGGCTATCACGCACCGCTACTCACTGTCAATGGGGTTTGTGTTTCAAACCGCGGTGTCAGGGGGAAGGAATCCTAATCATGCACTGCACGCTCAACCCTCCACCCCCTCCATGGTACACCCTCCTTCTCCTCCCACATTCTGTGATTCCTCCCCCCTCCATCCTCCTACAATCTGTGAACCTTCCATCGCCAGACTCCCTCCCCGGCAGACAAGCACCACATCCATTTCACGACGGCACCGCCCCCTTAAACGATTTTAATTTCCCCCCAAGTCGGAGACCTTCGCCGTTTCTAGACGACAGCCCATCCGCATCGTCATGCTCCATCATCGTCATCATCATCATCGTCGTCGTCGTCATCGTCGTGTCAACAATACGGGGAACCGCGATTACGCACGCTCGCAATTGCAGGCACACTGCATCGCATACGCACGCACAATCTGTCTCTTAAAAAATAAAAATTACGAACACACACTAGACCACTCTGTTGGATTTGAATCGTATTTTTTTTTAATAATGTTAATAAATACATAGGTTTTATGAAACAAAATAGTTGCACTTACGTGCCCGTGTTTAATTTGTGTTTTTGATTATTTGCCTTCGAAAAAAAAAATCTGACCACGTCTCGCACGCCCAGAAAGGGCATCTCGCACCCCCAGGGGATGCGTGCACCCCAGGTTAAGAAGCACTGCACTAGACACACACTTGCTCTCTGTCACATCCAAAGACAATCATCGCCTGTATAGGATCCAATGGACTATTTGGGGCAAATGCCGTTCGACATGGCACACGAGGGCGTGGGTGATTAACATCACCACCCACCGCCTTTGTCTCTCCACACCGCACCAGGTACTTAATTTAAGGCTGAGTCGACCTAGAGGAGGCCCAGGACAGGTTCAGATAGTCGTCACTGGTGTTGGGCGTGAACGGGAATCGAACTCGCGTGGCTGGGTTCGTAGCGCAGCGTAGCGCTAACCACTACACCATCGCTTTCCACATGTGCGTACAAACACACACACGCGCACACACACAGACGAACGCACACAGTAGCCATATCAAATTGTTTTAGTTTTTTGGGCTTCTCAAGTCAAACCACTGGCAGCTACTTTCAGGCGGGGTAACAAATTGAGGGTTTGGTTACGGCTGAT